CGCAGATGGGCTTCATGCGCATGGGAAGTCCACCAAGGGGGTCGTCTCGGCGCGCGGGTGGGAGGGGGATTGCCTGCGGGTCGGCCCGTCGGTCCGGGCTGCGGTTCTGCCAGGGCGAGCTGAGTGGCGGGCGGGCATCGCGCTCAAGCGTGGCGTCCTCAGGAGCGGAGTGCCGACGGCGATCTGACCTGCCCCCCGCACCTCTTAGGTCTCTGCCGTCACCGATTGCTTCCATGATCGACCGGGAGCGAGCAGTCGCGAACGGCGTCCAGGTTGCCGACTCGTCCTTTGGTGGGGGCTGTGTCCACAGGGCTGTCCGACCGTGGGGGGCATCGTTGTCACTGGGGTCGGGGACGTCGGTCTCATCTGCCTGTTGCGTGGGACTGGCGACCATGGAGACGGTCCTGTCTGGTGGGTTGTCCTCGTCGTAATCGACTTCGCATCCGCCGCTGCCGCATCCACGCCTGTCCGGGGATGGCACTTCCCTTGTTTCTCCGTCCGCCTGCGTCGCCGCAGAGGATTGCTGGAGGGGGGCGTCGTCAGGGGTGCAGCCAGGTGGAGCTGTTGGGGTTCGCTGCGCCAGACGGCAGCAGGGGATCCCTCACCCTCCTTGCTGCTGGTCCTCCCGACATTGCGCTCGCTGGCGAGGACCTCTAGTGTTCCTACTGCGAGGTCGTCCTTCATTTGGGACAGGAAGCGGTTCAGCGCATCCAACGGTTGGCGCTGGGGGCACTGTCCCTTTTGGCTGTGGAGTTTGTTGGCGAAGGACCGCCAGGCCTCCTGGCACTTCTGATTCCTCCCCACCAGTTGCGTGATGACGTTGGCCGCAGCGGCCCTCTGTCCGCCCCAGGGGATGATGGGGGGGGGCGACCATTCCTGGGGACCTCGCCCCCGTAGATGGCTTCCAGGAAGCGCGCCAGGTGTTCGTGTGACCATCCCGACTCATCGGTCACATCGCCCACTATTCCCCTGCCCAAGCGCTGCGTGAAGGCCGTCCAGAGGGTGTGAACCGCGTGGTTCCACTCAATCAGAAACTTGACCAGCTCGCGGACGGGGCCGCACGACTGCTCTCCACCAAGACGGAGGGTGGAGTATGTGGGTAGCAGGGGTGCATTGGGTGGTGGGAGAGGCGGTAGAGCATACCCGCGGGTAGCTCCGCTGTCGGGGTCTCCCACTGGGCGCGAGGCGTGCCCTGGAAGGCTGTCGGGTGTTGCCGTCGGCGGGTGGGGGCCAGTGGGGCCAGTGGCCAGCGCTGGGCTGATTGGGGGGAGGTGAGCTGACATTTCGTAGATGTCCCAGTCCTGCGAGCCCTCGCTACTGGCGGGCCTCTTGGCTGGGGTGGCGGGGTATACTTCGTTCGAGCATAGGTCCAGCACGATGTCGAGGACACTGGGGGCAAGGTCCCAGATGTGCACCAGGCACCTCCTGCAAGCCCAACTGGCATTCCACTGCCTTCTGACCCACAACGACGGCATTGCCTCCCATGCTGGGAGACCTGTCTGGTCACTGCAGTCGGCGTCCTACTGTGGACGCCATATGAAGCACCCTGGGGCGGGTGCGCCCGCCGGCCATTCGAGCAGTGGGGAGTAGGGGGGACAGAAGTCGCACGTGTCCGATGGCGCCCTGTACCCCAACGGTGGCCTGGACAGAGAGGGAAGGGTCCTAGCCCTCTTCTGCGCCCGGTTGTCGTCTAACCTGCGTCTATGCTCTTGCAGTAGCCACTGCATGGACTTCTTGCCGGCGTGCTCGGAGGGGTCGGGTTCGGGGAGGGGGATGCCTTTCTTCTCCAGTGAGACGACCCAGCAGCGCTCGCAGAGCCATCTGCAGTTCTTTCCATCCGTATACGCCTGCGCACGGTTCTGAGCGAGTAATTCCCGGGTGAAATCGTCTTCCCAGGTACCTGCTGTACCGTGAAGCCCCACGTTGAAGCACCCGTCGCAGTTGTAGGCGGCGTCCTTCTGCCGCCTGCTGAAGCGCTCATCGCGCGCAACGGGGGGGGCCAAGGATGTACCTGGGGCCGGGGAGGCAGGGATGTCTTCGTCGAGTCAGCGGTTGGAGATGGCCTTCCCGCCACCTATGTACTGGAGGTCGTCCATGGTCTGCGGGCTCCCTAGCCCTACCTCTGAACCCGCCAAGGCAGTGTGCAGCAGGCAGATGGAGCACTCTCCAACGTGCAGCTGTGTGACGTCAGCGGGCCGTACAATGGCCTCCAGCACGCGTAGGGGGGCCTCCAGGGTGAAATTGTGCGTCTGCATCCCAGCCCACGTTTTCGGACAGCCGCATTCGCCTGCAACCTCGTGGTGGTGGGCGAATGTGGCCAAGGTGCTTGTATGGTGGATGACCTCGGCGAGCTTGGTGTGGAGAGTTTCGGGGTCTGCCAACGGGCACCCCCACGTCTCTGCATACTGTGTGCGGAACCCTTTGTGCGCTTCCTGCCAAGGGAGGAAAAGACCCATCATGGCCTCGAAGATGTCGCCAGTGGCCTCTGGGTTTGGGAAGGGCCAAAGTGTGGCACCGGGCCCACGCAACTGCAGCATCATCTTACCAGTAGCACTCTGAACGCGTGGGGGTTGAGTGGTTGCCCGTCGACTCCAACTAGGGATCCCGTGAGCTCAGTGTCGATCGCCTCGGGCTTGAGTAGGGCGTGCAGGTTCTCCATTCCCGGGTGCACCCTGTGCCGTCGGCACCGGCAGGTGGTACTGCTCCATGCTGCTGGAAACTGAAGGAGCGTATCCCAGGGAGTGCAGCGGCTAGAAGTCTTGGGGCGTCGGTTGGTTCCCACCATGCGGGGTAGTGGTGGAAGCGAGTCGTACGAGACGCCCAGCTGATTGTCGTTCCATGGCGTGCCCAGTCCGAGGAACCAGACAATGGCTGCCCACGTGAGGTTGTACACGAGGTTGCTCGCGTCGGTCCCCACTTCGATGTCTAGGCAGTAGCCCAGGTGGCTCCAGGCCTTCCTGTCTAAGCTGCCTGGTTGCCTGGGTGTGGCCCCCATTTGCCACTGGTGGGGGTGCAGCCCGGAGACGGTGTACAGCAGGATAGCCGTGATAGGGTCGTCGACCAGCTTCTGAATGATGTCTGTGAGGGCGGCACCAAGCTTGTCCCAGGAGCACTGAGCGTCGAGTGGTGCCGCGATGCGGTCCGCGAAGGAGCTCTCCAACCTGGCCTTGGCCTTTTTGATGGCGTTATTCAGGCCTTTTACGCTGTCGTCCCCTGTGTGTGTGGGAACGGCGGGGATCCACGACTCAAGGTCCTCGATGGGGTCAAACTCCTGGAGTGAAGAAGTGTTCCCCAACCTCAGAGGATTATTGTTTTTTGTATGAATGAAGGTTCCCAAACCTCCAAGAAGGAGAGCGTACTGATACCAATAGGCGTCACGCGTCGTCGCACGGCTGGATGCGCCTTGCAGTCCGTGTCAGAGCTCAGCCTGGGAGAGGGCCGTGGAGCAGCGGTATCGGTATATATGTACTCCCCCACAGCCAATGGCATGCCCTGACGGGGTCCGAAAGGAAATCCGACGAGTTCGGAATAGGACCGGACGGTTCTGGTGGGCGGCCAGTTGTGTGCGTGCGTGTGCGTGTGTGGGTGTGTTTGATTCGTCGTCTTTCCCCCCTTCATGCATGGTGACACAATTCGCTTAACGGTAAACCCGTTTCGCTTCGCCGCCAGCGCAGTGACTCTGCCCAGCCGCCGACGAAAAAAATGTGTGTGTGTGTGTATGTGTGTGCGCGTGCTGCGTGAGCCGCACCAGGTGTGCGCGCCTCGTCGACCTGTTTTAGGCTGCACCGCCGCGCGTGTGGCCGCGACGCCACAAGCGCGTGTGTGCGTGTGCGCGTGTGCGAGAATATGTGAACGTGTGTCTGTGTGCGTGTGTGTTCGTCTTGCCTGCCATCCCAGCTCTGTGATGCAATTCAAATGAAAGTATTCACGCAGCATGCGGCGCTGCCGAGGAATAAGTGTGTGTGTGTGTGTCTGTCTGTCTGTCTGTCTGTCTGTCTGTATGTCTGTCTGTCTGTCACTATGTCTGTCTGTCTGTCTGTGTCTGTGTGTCTCTGCGTCTTTGCCGTTCCCACTCAATTCACTCAGTCGTGTTGCTGCGCGCGTGGCCTCCACACCGAAAAGTGTTTCTCCGTGTGCATGCAAAAGGTTCCTGCAATTCCTCGGTCGGCTACGTCCGGCACTCGTTGGGGGTCACTGCTCCCGCGCGCGTCAACACCAGCGAATGACCATCTTGCCACTGACCGTGCTCAATGCCGCCGTTGGCTGGGCCTCGCTGGCGCGCCAGAGAAACACGTGTCTTTGTATGTGTGTATGTGTAACGGTGTCTCTGTCTGTGTCTGAGCGTTTATGTCTTCCGCCGTGGCGCCTGTGCTTGCTTCTGCTGGGGCAACAGTTCTGCAGCGAACGCGGCCGCCGCGGATATGTATATCCCTCCTGGGGACAGGTCGTCCGCCCAGGGCCGTCTATACTGATTGTCTTGGACACCTGGCGGCGACCTTTGGATGCCACAGAGATTCTGAGGACCCCAACCAATTCTCAGGGCGTCAATCGCCTGGAAACTCTTCGTCGCAGCGGTGGCAAACGCGCGTCGCTTCTGCAGCCTAAGCTGGGACACTGCTAGGCGAATCGAGCAGATGGCCTGGGAACCAAGAGACGAGAAGAGCCCCCTCTGGCCCGACCCCTTTCTGCGTCGGCTCGTCCTGCCCCTGGTCCTTCAGACTGTGGTCCTCCTGCTCCTCGTCACCATGACCCTCCGAACTCCCTTGCAGATCCCCTGCTCGATCCCTCGCCCCCCCTTCCCAGACCCAGACGTTGCGACTTATTCACCAGCGTCGACCCCCCAAAGGCCTGGACCCCTGCCCGGGGACCGGCCTCTCCTCCCGGGTGGCATCGGACGATCCTGCGGCCTGGCAGAGGCCCCTCGGGAGGCCAAAAACCAGGGTCTGGGCGTGGGCTCAGCTCCTCTCCTGCCTCCACAAAGGAGAAAAGGCCGACGGCTCCGTCTGCCCCTCCCGCCCCTGGCGCAGAGGGGCTGGTGCGCACCGCCACGCCGAGCTGCACGATGCCGGAGCGGTCAAGGGGCCGAGACGCCGCCTGAGCGGAGGACGCGCTTCTCTTTGCAAGGGGTGCCGCCAAGCTGCTGCCACAAGCGCCAACTCGGGAACGGAGCCCCTTTTTCTTGGGCCCGGGGAGCGCCCGACGGGAAGCCCTCTGAATGCAGTCCTTCCTGCCGCCAGGCCGTCACCGTAGTTGTTTTACAACCAAAACGTGGATTGAGGACGGGTAGTAAGGACGCAAGACCCTTGGAAGCCGAAGTTGCGATTTGCTATGCGGCGGGCGACCAAATCAAAAGGGAAAACGGCAGAGGACGGGCCGCAGAGGCAATCACACAAGGGTGCCATAGATGAAGGCGCGCGTTCTTACTGGGCGCATGGTCTGTAGTGTGTTTCAACCAAAAACCCGACGCGATCGCTGGAGCTCTCCTCACCATCACCGGGCTCCGCCTTTCGCCCTGGACCGCCCGTCTCTCGAGGGCCCAGGGCTGCCACGGATGCGACGCGAAGAGAAGGGGGGCCGGCGCGTCCATGGGCACGCGCAAGATGGGTACGAAATCACTGGGTGTGATGCCCAACAGCAACATGCGTCCAACATCGGCACCCGGCGGTGCTCCACGTGAGCCCTTTTGTCTCGAATGGATCACGTCCTCGGCGACACCGACAGCGAGTCTGGCCCGACACGGGCAGTAACTACAGGCGATCTTCGTCCCGCTGTTTCCCGCACGCATGTTGATCGTGCCGAGTCCGGGAGGAGGCGACCTACAGTGGCAAACCCTGCACGGCGACCGGCGAGGCAAAACAGCACTGCGCTATGTTGCCTCCGCCCGCCGCGTGCCTCAACGAAAGCGACACCATACGGAGCTGCACCAAAATATCCGGCCGCGGCGCGCGAGGTCCGAGCGCAGAGGGGGAGGGAAGCGAAGGAGAGGCAGCAGGCAGGGCGGAAGCCGCCAGCCGATTGCAAGCCTTCCCCGCTGGGCCTCGTCCTCTGGCAGCTCCACGCCGTCGGCACGCACCGGCTGGAACGCACGGAAGGGGAGCCGCACCACGTGCCAGCCCGTATCCCCACACCGAAGGCCCGCCTCGTACTGCACCCTGGACTCCTCGAAGTCGGCGGTGCGGAGGAAGAAGGAGAGCCTGCTGCCGGGGGCCCGGCCGCGCAGCCGAAGCACGAGGCCGCCGAAGCGCCGAAGGTCGAGCTTGAGCACCGGCGACCGCAGCTGGACCTGGCCGAAGGGCTCGAGGAAGTGCCCGACGAGACGGGCGCTGCCCGAGGGGTCGCGCGCCCAACGGGCCCGGTGGTCTCCGTAGCACACGTCCGAGTGGCGCCTGCGCTCCAAGTCCCACAGCTCGAGGTCGGTCTGGCGGTCGAAGCTGAAGAGGCGAACCTTGGCGCTGTATGCACCCTGTTGCACGCCTGGGGCCAGCCCATGCCCGCCGAACTGGAGTCGTGCCCTCAAGCATCTCGAGGGGCGTTGGATATGGGCACCTCACCATCCACGTGTGGCGGGACGTGTCCATCATGCAACGCTCTGCAAGATCCTCCATCCGCAGCGGTGGCTGCGAACCAATACATCCGCCGATGTGACTTTTCCACTGCGCGACCCCAGACGTCCCGATGCCCTTCCCCAGAAAAAACGTTCCACCATGGATCAACTTTTGATGGCCCCGGGGGCAATCTTTTCGGCATGGTCAGTGTTTTCAGCCATTTCCCGCAGCCAAAAGAACGTTGCAATTCCAAGCCAAAGAAGCTGCAAAACATCAGGATGCAGCGTGGCAGCTCTTTTACGCCGCGCCCTGCCGCGTGCGCTGACCGCACTGATCGCTTGTCCGCAGAAGATGATCCCGGGGCCCGAAAACAAAGTCTCAGAGTTAGATGCTCACTATGGGGACCTTGCCAGAGCCACTAGCTAGCTCTACTTGTGCGTCGAAGCTGCGTCGAACGTCCGTCGACTGGAGCCAGACTTGGGTCGAACCTGAGTCGAACCTGAGTCAGTCGAGCCTGTGTCGAACCTGAGCCGAGGTGGAGTCGAACTGGAGTCGAGCGGATCCGTGAGGTGGGCCCCAGGAGTGCCCCCCCCCACCGAGCCTCTGACGGGAGGACCGCGCCGAGATTTTTGTTTTCGTGAGGAAAAAAAGCAAACCCCCTCAGAGGGCCAACGCCGCGCCGTCAGAGCTCTGGGCCCCCACGCGGGGCCACGCCTCCGGAGAGCGGCGGCTGCGAGCACGGGAGCCCCCAGGCGCGAGCCTGGCCCTCCGAGAAGTCCGCCCGGTACAGCTGCCAGCACGCGAGCAGGTCCCGCACCTGTCGGGGACCTACCCGCGCGGTTGCCCCCCAGGCCGCAGGCGACCCGAGGAGGAAGAGGAGGAAGAGAGAAAGAGAAGGAGGAGGAGGAGGAGGAGGAAGAGGAGACGGAGGCGACGGAGGAAGACGGGTCACCTAAGCCCTTCGGAGAAACCCTCCACCCTCACCTGTCGGGGACCTACCCCGAGAACCCTGGCGTTGCAATTTTTTCGCCACTGGCGATTTCGCCCCGTTTCAGGTCCCAGGACTCTCACAGATCGATCCGGGCTCGAACAGTGACGCGCGAAGATGGGGTCCGGAGCTAGGTCGGGCGATGATGTTTTGCGATGGCGCGGTGTCTTCGCAACGTCGGATCTCAGGGCATGCTGACCCGGGTCAATGCAAACCCGGGTCAGTCAGGCCTTGCAGGATCCTGCAAGATCCTTCAGGATCCTGCAGGATCCTGCGCCCAAGCCCGTGTCAGTGCGCCCCTGGCTCTGCAGGATCCTGCAAGATCAGGCGCCCTGGCTGACCCCCGCTTGCATCGACGCCCCCCGTCTCTTGAGCCCCGAGCCTGCTTCGCGCTCGGCGCCCCAGCTTCCCCGCCCGAGCACACGACGAACTTGTCGACGCCGGCCACGGACTCGTAGAGGTCCGAGACAACCTGTTCCGCGCCAGGCCCTCGTCGCCGCCGTCGATCACGTTTCGGGGGGCGTCCACAGGAGGGGGTGGGGACTGGGGCCCTTTCGTCGTATCCTCATCGTCGATGGTTTTGTTGTGCTATTCTCTCTCTCTCTCTCTCTCTCTTGCCACTGGGCGCCCCCAGGCTGGTTTCACCAAAGTGCACAGCATGGCCAGGGACATGAGATCTCCACGGTCTCCTGGCACCCTCCCTCTCGAAGGCACCCCCTGCCCCTCCCCCCGCGTCCGCGCACATGACTTGGGCCACAATGCGCGCCCCTGCCACCTCCTCACAGCCTTTCCTCGGCACTTTTGTTCGTCGGCGGCGAGGCAGAGGCCGTCCGCACCAGCACGGGGCTAATCGGGGCAGCCGAAAGGCGAATTGTCCGGCGTGCGAGAGAAATCAACAAAGACGAGGGCGCCCGTTCACGCCTCGTCGGCGCACTCGGAGCACAAGACGAGGCGGCGGCATGAAACTGGACGTCCGAGGGTCCGCGAGGATCTCTTGGATCGGCGCTGGACCCACGAGGAGGATGAGGAGGATGAGGAGGAGGAGGAGGAGGAGGAGGAGAAGGAGGAGGAGGAGGAGGAGGAGGGGGCAGGAGCAGGAGGAGGGGGAGGCGGAGGAGGAGGAGGAGGAGATGGAAGAGGAGGAGGAGGAGGAGGAGGAGGAGGACGAGGAGGAGGAGGAGGAGGAGGCCTCAGCGGAGGAGGAGGAGGAGGAGGAGGAGGAGGAGGAGGAGGAGCGGGAGCACGCAAAGGGGGCTTGGCGCAGGTCCAGAAAATATGCGCGGTCATCCACAAGTTCCCTTAATCTCGTGTCAGGGTTTGTCGACTTAGTGACATCGGTGGACAAAAAAGTCCCCCATCGTGCCCCCCTTGCGAGCAACTGTGTCGCGATTGCGAAGGTCGTCATGCCGCAATGCCGTTGGTTCTTCTTTAAATCCTCCGCCGACTTTTTGTTCCAGCAATGCTGTGGTGTTTGGTCCTCGTCACGAACAAACAATACTCCGCGTCCTCCTTCTCTCCTCTTCCCCCTCTTCCTCCCTCCTCCCTCCATTGACTTTGCCCTCTACGTTTCCATCTCGGCACACCCCTCACACGTTTCGGGCACCCCCTAGGGAGCTCCAGCTAAAGCCAAACCGCCAGGGTTCGCGGCTCCGAGATGCTGCGTGCGACGCGGTCTGGCCCAAGAGCGAGGTGAGCTGTGAGGAGGCACACTGGGGGAAATATATGGAACAATTACTACTGGAGGAGGAGAGAGACGGGACCAGGCTCCCTCGCGAGGAAGCCTCCTGGAAGCGGCATCCAGAATGCAAATGCATCCCTGGCGTGTCGGAGGAAGCGGAGAAGAGAAGGGACGATGAGGAGGAGAAGGAGGAGGAGGAGGAGAAGGAAAAGGACGGGGAGAGCGAGGGGGAGGAGCATGAGGAGAAGGAATGCGAGGACGAGGTGGAGGCGGAGGAGGAGGTCCATTGCGAGGAGGAGGAGGAGGAGGAGGAGCACTGCGAAGAGGAGGAGGAGGACGATGAACACCATGAGTACGAGGAGGAGCACGGCGAAGAGGAGGAGGAGCAGGAGGAGGACAAAGGACAGGAATAGCGCGATTAGAAGGGAAGGATGAGAAGGTGACGGAGGAGGAAGAGGAAAACTACGAGCAGGACTAGCACCAGGGGGATGAGCAGGATTCGTATGAAGAAGGGAGCGAGGAAGATGAGATGAGGAAGTACATGAGGAGTGTGAGGATCAGGATGAGGAGGAAGACGAGGAGGAGGCGCGCGAACACCATAAGGAACCATCTGGGCTCAACAAACGCTATTTGGGGATACTTGACTCTGGCGATAATTGTTTCAAAGAGGGGGTCCCGGAGCTCTGGACCACTTCCGGGGACGGACTCTTCATCCCGAGTCGTTTGTTGACTGTCCTGGGGCCCGACGAGGGCCCCCAGAGGCAGAAGAGTGAAACATCTACGATCAGATTTTTCCACGAACCGAAAGGGTACTTGTTGTTTCTTCTTCCCGGGAAAGCAGAAAGGTACGTAGCCATAATGCTACTTCACGGGCATCTTCCGGGGTGCGGTCTGGCAAAGTTTAAAGGCAATCTCAACAGCGGCGACGAGGGCTCTCCAGCAGGGTACCTCTTCTTCCTATGACTTCCAATCAACGTCGCCGCCGCCGCCGACTTCCCCGCGGCTCTGGACACCTTCCCAAGGACCGATGTCTTATATCAAACAATTGTTCGACGGCCCCTGGGCTCATCGAGGAGGCTCAGACGCCGAAAATGGCAAAGCACCTCCGTCTTGATGTTTTCAAAAGGTTTCGGAGCAGGGCGAGTTGAGGCAACGGCGGCTCAACATCGGTCCCTAGACCCCTCCCTGGGTCCAATCGCGCCAGTTTTCCGAGCTGCGTCCAGCCGTGGCGACAAGGGGGCCCCCGAGGGCCAACTACACGGATGACCGCGGGGGTGGCTAAAGAGATAAAGGGGCCTCCAGAGGATGCTAAGGTAAGATGCAGCTGGCCTAACCTAGCTCATGAGCAGGTTGCAAGTGCCTTGAGCGGCTTACGGGGGGCAAGGATCTGGGCTAAGTGCGCGAACAGAGCCCACTTACCAGATATACGTAACCCTTTTAAGCGAATCAGGGCATCTATAACTCACTCATAAGCTAGGTTGGGCCGGAGATTGCCCACCTTCACATCCACCTATAACACTGGATCCCCTCGGCAACCCCCGCGGTCATTCAAGTACCGCTGTCTGAGTACCTACCAGACCACCACAACGGACCCGAAGACTCAAGTTGCACATTGGAGAGGGGGAACGGGTTCCACATGTTTGTTTTTCAATGTTTCCCGAGCCCCCCGTGTTTTTTCAATGTTTCCCGACCCCCCCCCCACCGGAAATCGAGGTAAATTTGGGCCTTCGGGTTGCGTTGGGGTGGTTTGGTGGGTGGGTGGTGACTGTCTCACCTCGCCCCCCTCTGAACGTCGGAGCTCTGGACACGCTCGCCTGCACGCCGTGGTGGCCCTGGGCAAGAGCGACCTTCGATGCACGGCTTTTTCGTGGGCCGCCAGGAAGGCCGAACCCAAGCAGTCCAAGCCATCCAAGCGATCCAACAAAGCCGTGCGGGCCGCTACTATCGGTGGTTCAAAGATGGGGTCCTGAGGAATGGGGTCCGAAGGACGACGTGCCTCAAACAACGCAATCCACCCTTGGATACCTTTCTATCCTTAGGCCCCCATCCCTCAGGACCCTATGTTTGAACCCCATAGGATCGATCCGACGATGCGATCACAGCTGCAAAATCGCTGAAATCAAGATCAGAGTTCCAGAGACCCCACATTTCTGCTGCATGTTTCGAGCTGCATCGATATGTCATGGCCTCAGTGCCCAATGTCTGGCGCGAACAGAAACGCAAGGCCTGGATCTGAGGGCGTGTCGACTCGCACCAATGGTCACCCCGGCGAAGGGTCACTCTCACGCGCAGCCAGATAGCCGCCGCCGCGTAGCCGCCGCCGACAACGACAACGCCGACGACAACGACCGCCACCACGACAACGACGACGACGACGACGACGCCAGCGGCGGCGGCGGCGGCGACGACGACGACGATGACGACGACGACGGCCACGACGACGACGATCACCACGACGGCGACGACCACGACGACGAGGACGACGACGAGGACGACGACGACGTTCACGACGACGTTCACGACGACGACGACAACGAGGACGACGACGAGGACGACGACGACGTTCACGACGACGTTCACGACGACGACGAGGGCGACGACGAGGACGACGACGACTTTTTTTCATCCATCGACCTCAGGGAAAACAAAATCGCACACTATCTGTCTTGAGAGTGTGTGCTGGTCGTGTAAATAGAGGATTTCCCGTCGCAGGGCACGGTGACCCTAACTCGCGCGTCGGGGCGCGCCAGCAAGGCAGGGGGCTACGACGTGCGACAGCCTGCATTGCTCCACCTCTCGGCTATTCATTGAGATCCGAATAGTTGTGTGCAGAGATCGGGCACCGTGATGGCTGTCACGGAGTCTGCGCTTGAATCCCTGCGGAGCCCTAGAAGAAATCATTCGCTACTGCCTCGTCGGCTTCAAAAAGTTCATCCATCGTGTGTTCGGCTTCCTCGGGCTGCGGATCGAGCGGTGCACTGGGAACGGGCACAGGCACAGGAGTGGCACGGGCAAAGGGGCGCTGCTGGGCGCTCGCACTCGCTGGAGCGGAGCATGCACGGGAAACGGGCTGGAGGGCGAACGGAAATCGGGCGTGTCTCATGACCTCCGCGCCTGAGTATATTGTGCACGCGTCCGAGCTAGGAGGGAGGGGTGAAGCACTGCGAACAAATACGATGGGCCTGCTCCTCATTTCTGCAGCGTGTCCACCCAGCTCCCGAGCTCCTCCTCCAGCCACCCTGGCGGCGCGATCCCCGTCAGCACCTTGCCCACTCCCTCCGCCCTGAAGGCGGCCAAGATGGTCGGGCGAAGGTCGAAGGTGTTCATCGCGATCTGCACTTTCACGAAGTTCTTGTCGTGGCAGCTCTCGACGCGGAGGAAGGACACGTGGTCCTCTATGTCGCTCTTCGATACCAAGGGTTCCGTGTCTGCTGGCTGCACCTTCGCGAGCCATGCGTTCAGTGAGCCCCGTAGGGCCCCTCCCACGTCCGCGGCTGCCAGGCTCTCGACTAGGACGACCGTGAGCGAAGCCGTAGGAGGTCCGAGGGTCGCGAGCTTGCTCTTGTCGTCCTGGCGTAGCTGAGCGATCTCGCTTCGGTACTCGTCGAGTTCGTCCGCTAAGCTGGTCACTACTGGGTGATTGACGGGGAGCTGGATCGTGTCCATCGTGCTCGCGGCGACCATGCGGTTCTTCTGAGTCACCTGGAGCAACAATTTGGCCATGGTCAGCAACAGGTCGTGGATGTTGCGGTCCTTGCTCGTCCACTGCTTGTCGGAGTGGTTGCCGCGCCTGCGGCGGCCGCCGCGCCTCCTGCGGAGGGGGGCCTCCGCGGCCGCGGCCCCTCCCTCGTCCGCGTCCATGGGCTTCGGGGCGCCCTTGTCGCGAGTCACTGCCCCGCTGGTCGCTCGCTGCTTCGCCTGCGGCTGGGCGCTGCCGTCGTTGCCACCACTCCCACACGCAGTCGAGGAACGCTGCAGGCGCCACGGTGCTCTCGTCTTGGGTGTGGCCTCCGTCGGCAGCGCAGCCGCTGCCTCGCCAGTCATCGTGTCGAACGGGAGGTCGTGATCCAGGGCGCGAGGTCCGAGGGATAGGTGCTGCTGTCACTGGCGTCGCAGTATACGGTCCTCTCGAGGCTGCTGCAGTGCTCGGCCCGCTCGGTGCGCTCGGAGGTGGCGAACTCGGTCGGGAGGGTGCCGGTGTAGCTCGGCGCCTCGGAGGGCGCGGTGGAGCGTCCGCGGGCGGCGGTGGGACGCTGGTCAGCAGCTGCAGCGAGGCCGCCTGGACCAGGCGGCGGTTCTCGGCGTTGTCCTCAGCACGCCACGGCGCGCCGCGAGCAGCAGGCGGGCCGCCGAACTCGGCGGCGGGGCGGGGCGCCGCTGTCTCGCGGAGTCGGGTCTCGGCGTGGCTGGTACGAGTCCAAAGCCCAAATGGTGACGGAGGAATATGAGAGAGAACGTGTTCACGCAGCTTTTCGGGGTCGGGGTAATCTCGTCGGCAGCATTCAGAGGCAGCTTGTTCGTATAGCGGGCACACTCTGAGACGGGGCTTCTGCCAGTGATATTCGTGCCGTGTGAGTTCGGGGATGCACCGACCCTGGAGCCAGGAGCGCTTATGATGACGTATGTTGTGATCTACAGACTGGAACACCGTGTCGCATACAAGACATTTGTTATCCACAGTGATGGTAGACAGGATGGTAGGGCAACCGTGGCCAGGGGACTGTGTATGTACCTGATGTGCGATCAGGGCGTGCATCGTGTTAAACTTCTTGCAGCACCCTTCCAGCCCGCATACGAACATCAATTCATCGTCATCTGAGTCGTCCTCCTCAATAGTCTGGTTCACCATGTGTGCTGCCAACGGGGAGTCTTGCGGGGGAGCCCACTCTCGAGCGAAGAACGTGGCACGCAGTGTCGTCATGTCCAGACTCCTGAAGATCTCATTCGATTCGGACTTCTGGAACAATTCACGAACCACTGGGGGCTGCCAACATTCTCGAAGGTCCTCGCCAAGAGGGTGATCAAGGAGACACTGCATATCTGCGCCGAACTGTCGAACCCAAGGGTGCGTGTCTGGATCCTGGTTAACTCTGCCCTCTGACGTGAGTGGGGAAGAAGCGCTCGTGCTCATGCGTACCTCAAACAAACAACGACCAAAGACAGCAGAGAGAAACTGGGCGTGATGCTGCGGTTCGGCTGCAATAGTCTGCCACCAGCCCAGCCTTCGGACCGTGAGCTCCAGCGCGGAGGGGGGGACAGACCAATACTCGAACACCTGTCGGGTCGTGAAGGAGTGGTGGCGGTCCTGGTCGTCGACGTCGCGGGCCCTCCCTCGCATCATCGCTCGCAGTTTTTTGCCTATGCTTCGGTCGAGTCGCTGTGTTTCACGGGGTAGAAGGACGTAAGATTCCAAGCCGCTCCAGATGCGTCCCGCTACGTTGGCTAGGAAGGTCATTCGTTTCGCACGCTCGGGCCCCGACGAGAACCAATATTGGCCTAATGAGCACCAGCCGAGGTTCCCAGCCTTCACACGTTCGGCAACTTCTTTCGAGTTCGAGCCGTTCACGTTGATGTAGCCTCCTAGATGAATAAGATCTGTTACTGGTCGTCCACTAAGTTGTTTTTCGGCGGCTCGAGTAGCTTGTACTGTTCGTAGTCGGACTAGGGTATCTTGTTTAGAAACATTTTGGACGTACCCCTCGGTCTCGAGCTCCTGGTTAAGGATCGTGTTGTCAAAGCAGTCTAAGAGGAGGGCGTTCTTAACTGAGCCCTCGGGGACGACAAAAACCTGGATCAAATCATCGATGAAACTGCCCATCCCTACGTCCTGGACCTGGTCGGTGATCGGGCACTGGGTCTGGAAAAGGGGGCCTGTGATGTTGGCCATCTGCTGCCTCCAGCGGGTGACGGGCTTGTAGAAGGCCTGCATAAATAATTCTGGTTCATTCGAATCTCCCATACGTCCCCCCGAGCGCGGATGAACGTGTACTGGGGCGTCGGCAGCATCAACACGGATGATAGCCTGGGCACGGTAATGTTCAAGGACCGTGGAGAAATGTCGGGTGGGTTGACGCTCACGGTGTGCCTGCACAAGTCCTTCCACTTTTCCTGTGCCGAATGCGTTTCGCATGTCATATGATTTAAGCATGAACCCGAGCTTGTGGTGAATGCATTTCCATATGAGTATTCTGATGATGGTCATGAGAGCTTCACGCCGGCGGTGACGGATGCCACCGTACGCCCAGTCGGGGGGGTCGAACTCTGAACCATATACTACAAGACCGACTCGAAGATAGGATCGCCAGAAAGGGCAGAATACGTGAATCATGCGTAGGACCTCATTGATATCGTTTGCTGCATTGCCTGTCGGGGCCTTATTTTTCTTGGGGATCATGATGCCGTGACTTGTGTATGCGTGTTGCGGTAATCTGTATGTTGCACGTACATGTGATAATACCCGATGTAATGCGTCCCGACCTGCTTCAGCAACTGCCAAGCTGAGACCCTGAAGTGTTCGCTGGTCAGGGCGTCGGGGGGGGTGGCGATCGTCCCATCCTAGTCCGTGAATGATGTACTGTCCCTCAGGGTGTCCAATGCCCAAGGTGGGCAAGCCGGGCTTGGTGAGGGAGTTAGGGCAAAGGATCATCTGGGTGATTTCCTGGGGCCAGGACCAGGGAGGAGAGTAGCGGCGGTGCCGCTGCATGCCCATGCGTTCTGAGATGAACCGCAAGTCGTCGTGGGCCTGGGTCTCGTCCTCGGGCGCTGGGTCCTGACACTCGGTGCCTACTGGGTAAATCTGGTCCAGTGGGCGGGCGAGGAGGGAGAGGATAGCGTCATCGTCTGTCATGTACATGCTCGCATACGCTGGCTCTGCTGTTAATCCTCCTTCTCCTCCTGCTCGTGCAAGTGCTGTGTGAAAGTCCTGCGCTAGAGGTCGGGCCGACGGTAGTGATAGATAAGACCGCTTCCGAGCTCCTGTACGCGTGCCTGCACGTAGTCTAGCAAGGTCGGCGACACGGGCTGTTTCTCGTTTAGCCCAGGCATCTCGGAGGTCCTGCTCTACTGAGTATTGCCACCATTGGTGTCGCCATTTGGTGAATCTCTTGAGGTCGGCCGAGACTGCTTTGAGTTCTGGGTCCTGCGTCCGTATGCCACAACGTTCCTTCAGATCTGCTCGCTTGCGCAACAAGAATAGTCTCCTCTTCCTCCCCTCCTTGACCCATGCTGGTGTGGAGGCGACTCTGGAATAGTACTTATAGGCCGTAGTCCGTATGATATGACTGACCACTGCCGTGTGCCGAGTGGGGTCATCGTCCTTGTTAATAATGTTCAAGACGGGGGTCGCCGACGAGAGCTGGTTGTGCAGGTCTTCTAAAAATTCACGTCTAGAGTGGCCTACTTGGAGTCCCGCGGCTAATAGGCCCCAGTCCCAAACATAATACCCCGTTTGCGATGCTGGCGGTGGTGCAGTGATCGACAGCTCTAGGGCCATCGGGATATGGTCTAGCATATGTGGTAGTACTTGTGTGCGACGATGAGACCTCCAACACATATACATCCTCGAGACACGTTGAAGAAGAGGTTGAGGGACAACAAAATAATCAATACGTGAGCGAGCGTTCTTATTTCCAAAGAAAGTGTAACCCAGATCGTATAACGTATTTACTGCAGCCTGGTCATTTTCGAGAAGGGTTTTATGAACTAAACGGCCGATCTCATTCTCAGCGCTGGCCTGAAAAGATCCGATACTTGCATCATCTGCGAGCTTGCCGTCCTGCCTGCCTAGGCCCGTGTTGAAATCTCCAAACATAATAGGGACGAGTCGTGCCGGGGTTGAAGACGCTTGTCGGGTAACCCACGAGAGTATTCTAGTGTAGGTAAGCTTCCAGTGACGTATCTGATGATGAGCCGAGGGTCGAGGAGGCATATATGCAACTATGATTCGCACACGGAAAGATCCTTGAACGATATCGATAGTGCCCGCACGGCCCTGAAGTTCAGCTGGTGGGTGGTCAATTCGTACAACGTCCTGGGGCCTGAACCTCTGGCGGTTCAAACCTATGCTACAACCCGCGGAACTGTTACTCATGGCGCCCCTGCCCCAGCCAAAGTGGATCCAGAAATGGGAACGAGAAGTGTCGTGATGGTGGGGAGTGTGCATTTTTTGCCGTATTTTGGTTCCAGGGAGGAGGAGGAGGTGGAAGTTCGAGAATTCCTGGCTAATCTCCTCCATGCGGTTTGTACCTTGCAGCGTGAACGGGTTCCAACCTAGGATCTTCAGGGGATGAACTTCTGTATGGGCGCCTAGTCTGGGTCGATCTGCGTGTGCTGTGTCGTGCGCTGCTGCTGGATCATCCTGCTCTGCTGGTACTCCTGCTGCTGCCGCTGCTCCTCCCTGTTGTGCTGCTGGTTCGGCGGTTTCTGCTGCTCCTCCCCCCCCCCCTTGCAGCTCGGCGGTAGCCGAGGGCGAAGGCGGTGCGGCACGGGCCGCACGGAACCCCCGCCGCGGCGCCGCCCCGTCGGCGGTCCGCTCCGTGCCCTCCCCCATCGCGCCTGGCCGCGCGCGAACGCGTGGGGCCGCGACATTGGCGGGGGGGATCGAGCGTGACGGCCTGGACGACGACGACGAGGACGACGACGAGGACGACGACGAGGACGACGACGAGGACGACGAGGAGGACGAGGACGAGGCGCAGGCCGCCTCGTGGGCGCCACGCCGCGCGGCGCCTTCGGGGCGCAGCGCGCTGGCGCCGAGCCGCCGCACGTGGTAGCCGCCGCTGGCCAGCCGCCGCGAGACGACGCGCCCTGTCTCGCTCTGGCCGCCGACCACGAGGACCACCTTGAGACCGTTTTCTTTTGAATCGGCGATAGCCAGGGTTATCGGGGGGAAGGGGAGGAGGGGGCCGGCCGATGAACAGACCTTTGCGCTGTGGGCAGCCCTGCGTGCGCCCGCGCCCCCCCACCCCGGACCTTCACAGCAAGGTTCGGTTATCCTGGGGGGAGGGGGAAGGGGGGCAAGCCCGATAATCCGAGTTATCGCGGGAACCTCGGAAAAAACAAGCTCCTTCCAAGCCCAGACCCTCTCGGGCAACGAGAAAATCAGGTCGAGAGGTTTTTCGCCAGCTTCGGCCGGGCATCTGCCGGCCCTTAAAGCCGTCAAAGAGCGACTCGGGATGAGAAGCCGAACCAGGGGAATGGGTCGAGACCTCCAGGGGTCGACGTAATAAAAGATCATGACGTCCGGGGTCGGGGAGGGGAGAGCGCTCAGACGTGGAAGAGTTCCGCGTAGAGAAGACCGGAGCGGCCAGCCGAGGCAGCGGGCACCTTGGCAGTAGCCAGGGCCGAGGCCAGGGCGCACCCATGAACCCCAAGGGGACGCAGATGCATCGACACTAAGCTCGCGGGGCGTCAACTATTGTCAGGACCTCTAAAATCTTCCGCCGCTTCCCAGATTTTCTAAAGGCCGCTGGCCCCTTGGGCTTCTGGAGGTGCTCCAGTCGGCGGCGCCCCTTGCTCCGAGATCCCGGCGTTGGTTGCAGCTTTTTCAGCCCGGACGTTTCTGCTCAGATTCGGGCTCTGGGGCTCTCACTGATCGATCTGGCCTGGACAAAAGGCACAGGATATAATGGGGTATGGGGCTCCTGTTTTGTATTTCGCAGCGTCAGACCCGAGGATTGTCGGCGCGAACGCCCAGACCTACAAGTAAGTCGGGCGTCTCCCCCTACAGGCGGATTTCGGACGAAAAAATTGAAAAGTACGAAGAAAGATTCAAACACAGACAAACAAAAATTCAAAATATCGCCCCCAGACTATTTTCTCTTTTTTTTGAATAATATTCCTCCCGTAGAGGGACAAGCCTGACCTAAACCTACGGCAGCGAGGACCGATTGGTGCACGCCGCCAGCCACCGGTGCCTCCACCGTGCTCCGGAAGTCCGTCCACAGGCGTTGCTCGAGGCTCAGGGCCTCGGCGTCGAGCGTGCCTGTGGGCCGCCTCAGGAGGGCGTTGACCTGGGCCCGCAGCCTCAGGCGCTGGTCTTCTGGGGGCCTTCCTGGAGCCGCTCGCTCCACTCATGCGTCGATTTGGCGGTGCGCACAAGGGGGTGGCGGGAAGGGGGGGGCTTCTTAGAAGGAGGCTGCTTCTAGGAAGGCGCCGGCATCACATCCATAGATCAGGCCAGCGCCTTCTAAGAAGCAGGAGTGCTTCTAAGAAGCCCGCCCCCCTACCCCCACCCCCCTTTCTGCGCGTGGGCGATCGATGCTGCGTCGATGCTGCGTGGACTTGAATCGAGCTCGAAACGAGCTGGAGTCGAACTTGAGTCGAACTTGAGTCGGGCTCGAGTCGAGCTCGAGTCGAACTAGAGCCGAACTGCAGTCGGAGAGATCCATTCTCAGACCCCCGACGTTATGATTCTTTCACGACGTTGACCTCCAGAGGTCTCTACCCATTCACTGGGAACGTTTTTTCGTCCTGAATCGTTCTTTGACGGTCCCGAGGCCTGGTGAGGGGCCCCCTGTAGGCCCAGAACAGCGAAACACCTCCCGTCGCGACTCTTGTTCATGACTCGAGAGGGGGGGTCTGTGTGGGGTGGCTCCCAGGAATGTCCCCCCCAAGCGAGCACCAGAACAGCCTGCTCCCGAACTGGAACGGCGGCGTGCCCCGCATCAGGGCGAGCAGGCCGGTTGTCAGGCCCGCGAGCGCGGCGGCGACGCGCAGGTCGGGCGAGCGAGGAGGGGGGCGGCCAGGAGCTCTCGTGGAAGTGTACAGTCGGCCCGAGGCCAGCAGAGCATGCCTCGAGCACGTGAGACCCCGCGTCAGCCACAACAAGCCCAGACATGATCGCGTCGTTCAGAGAAAAAGTAGGACGGGAGGCTTTTGGCCAGTGCTCGGCCTCGGGGAGCCCTCGCTGGGCCTCGGAACCATCAAAAAACCGACCCAGACTGAAAACCGGCCCCGGGGAAAGGGTCGGGAATTCCAGGGGCCCCTTATCGAAGACATCAGGGCGTCGCACGTCTGGAAACAGAACATCCGAGGGCGCCCTCCCAGAGGTGCACGAAGACCATCCAGCAGGCACGCAGAACCCTGCAGGGCACCCTCTCCGAGCCGACCTCGGTCCTCTGCCTCGGCCCGCCTGTGGCGCAGGGAAGTCCCTGGTGGCCGTCTTCGGCCTGCGGGGGCCCTGGAGCGGGCCCTGGGAGCGTCAGCGAGAGAACCCGCAGGATGAAAATCGGGTCGGGCGAAAGGGGGGGATAGCAAAGGGGGGGCTTGAGAATCAGCTCACGTAGCTGATTTTCCTGGCGCCTCCCGGCGCCAGGAGGCGCCCATGTATCGAGGAATGGGCCCCTCGGTGAGGCCGAAACCAGCTGCATGCAGCAAATTTCGTAACCCCCCCTTTCCCAATCCCCCCCTTTCGTCCGGCCCGAGAAAAGAGCCGGTCCCCGGGGAAGGGATCCGCAGACTTCTTCGTTCCATGGAGCCTGGAAGTCACGACGTCGGGGGTCTGTGGGGTGATAGAGGAAGGGGGCTCAGCGCGGCAGGCGCCCGGCGGCGAGGCCGAAACCGGCCGCAGGTGGCAGATCTCGTGACCCAACCTCCTCCTTGTTGAGTGCGGGGCCCCTGGAGCTCTGGACCACTTCCCGGGAAACCGTTTTTCGCCACGGACTATCGGCGGTGGACAAACCTCCCTTTAGCAAAGCACCCTTTAAGGGAAAACGGCCTGGGACCGAAACCGACGGCCCTGGACCCGCAAAAATTACGGCCGCGACGCCCTCTCGCGAACCGAAAACGGCAAATTCGCCAATCGGCGTATCGGGGTAGGAGGTCTATCGACCTCCGACACCATCGCCCGACGCTCTTGGGGCAAGGCGGGGGCTCCCAGCCAGACGCCGCCAACGCAGGAAGGCCTCCGTCTTGCTTCTTGTCGACGCCCCCCCCTCGGCCGGCCGGCCCGAGATATACGGGTCGTCCAGGCCCTGCTCTTAGGTCGGGCATGTCCCGGTGCAGGCGGTTTTTGGGCGAAAAATAACAAGTAGAGTCGAAAAAGACAATAAGAAAATTAGAATAATCGTCCCTGGACTACTTTTTGACTGTTTTTGAATGTTCATCCTGTAGGGACACGCCCGACTTAAGCCTGCTCCCCGGCGGCGCCGCCGCCCAGCGAGGGCCCCCCCGCCAGGTCCTGCCGCAGGACCTCCACCTCTTTGGGTGACCCAAAAGGGGGTCCAGCTGAAAGGGGGCGGAGAATTGTATTGCACGTGTTCTGTGCTGGAGAATTGTGACGCCCTGTATTGCCAGTAGAGTGTTTTGCACGCGACAATCCAGCAATACATTGGCGCCCCGGAATGTAATGCACGCCCCGAATGTATTGCAACCCCACAAATCGATTGCACCATATCTATTGCACAACCCACTTGTCGCTGAACCCCCAACCCGAACCTCGATCTTGACGCGGCGCCCGGTGCGGGGCAGGCGGAACACGGCGCCGCTCCTCACGAGAGGCGAAGGCATCCACAGCAACGCCCTCGCGATCTGGCGCGGCCCCGTGGATACGCGGTCGCACGGGTGCGCTCCGCGCGGTGCATGCGCCGAAGAGAACGCCCCGTGTCCACGGGGTCGCGGCCCAGGGGCCCAGCCTGCGAGGCCGTGGATGCGGACATGCCTTCCGCCCCCGAGCTCCCCTTCATGCCCGGATACCGCTCGCCCTTGAGGAAGGTCGTCCATCCTGGCGGCACTCGCTTCAGGGCCTCGGACACGTTCGTGCCCCTGGCGGTCACACTGCTCACCCAGTCCTCGGAGCTCATGCGCCGGGTCTGCTCCTCGGAGAGGCACTGGGTTGCCCGAAGCCTGTTCTTGTCGACGAAGCGGCTGGGGACAAAGTCCAGCTCCTCCCCGGCCAAAATGAAATAGGCGCGCATCAACGTTGGCGACGACGGCAAGTCGGAGTCAGAATCGGTGCATGCAAAGCGCCACCTCATCCGCGTTGCCCCAGAAGAGAAGTGCATGCTCCACATCAGCTTCAAGATCTCCGACACCGTGCTGCGGATCAGGCCGCGGAACTTGTCCCCGCGAAGGTCCGATGGCAAACCACTGGCAACCCTGCGGAAGACCGAGGCCTCCTCGGACGGGCCGCGGCCGCCAGAGGCGATCGAGCTCAGCTCCTCCGCGCCCCGGCCGAACCAATCGCGCATGGCCCTCTCCACAGACGGGTCTCGGACCGAGGCGCGGACCTCCTCGTCACTGGGCATGGGTTCGTCAAGCGGCACGTCCCACGATGGATCGAGAGGGTCCAGGTCTGCAGGGGCGTCGACCTCGCCAGCTATGTCGAACACGGGCACCTCGTCGATCACTCTTCTCCACGCCTGCGACGTGGCGTCCGACGCCTCCCGCCTGCCAACGAGGCAGACGTCAATGCCTGGCTGGGCCATCGCCGCCCGCACGGCGGACGCGAACGGCACGGACGCGTAGCCCTTTGCCTTGCCCTCCTTCAGCCACCTCCGCTGGCCACGGGGCCCCGGCTTCTCGGGCGCCCGCAGAAGGCGCCCGTACACCCCCGGCCACGGGTACAGGACCGGCGTCGATGGGGGCCCTCCCGCCTCGGCCACGAGCTCTGCAACCGTGGGCGCCTCCAACCCTGCCTCGTCGTCTGCCCGCAGCCCCTCCACCACGGCTCGGCGGAGCACCCTCGCGGGCCCGCACGGCACCGCGGGCCAAAGCGCTGGGCGGCCCCGTCGGGCGTGGGTGGCGCTGGGCCCCCCGCGGCCCCGCTGGGCGCCGGCGGCCCCCGTGGGCGCCAGGCCCTGGCCGGCGCCGGGGCCGCCCACGAGCGCGCGGGCAGCACAGACCCCGCCCAGCGCCAGCGCCACGGCGCACGAGGCTGCCGCAGCCGCGGCTCCGAGCAGCCAGCGGCGCCGTGGCTGTGGGCGCGGCACGGCGCTGGCCATTGGGGGCCGCGCGGGCCGGCCGGGACATGGGCCGGCGCCGCGGAGGCAGCGCGCCCGGGCCGAGAGCGGCTGGGCCCCCCCCCCCCTCCTCACCTCCCCACCTGCAGTAGCCGGCCAGGCCCCTCTGTCTGACCAGGCCCTGCGATCTCCCACCACGATGTGGCGCACGGTACAACTGGGGCCAACTCTGGCGCAGCAGGGGTCCCAGCCCGCCCGGCATTCGAGCAGGTCTTCCGATGCTCGTACGGTTCTGCCCTGAAAGGCTGACGAGCCCTCTGCAACTTGGAACTCGCAGTCTCATTACGCGGGGGCTTGGCCGTTTCACCAGGGACTCCACAACTGGCAGCGGCTCAGCCTTGGCTGCTGCAGAGCGGGGCCCAATAGACAAGGCGCGCGACCATCCAACTCCATGGCCAACACGGCCCCCACCTTCAAGAAGGGGTTCGATGTACACACCACATCGTCCGGTCGGCCAAAAAGCACGGCGTAGCCTGGCACCACGAAACCATCACGCCAATGCTGCAATTGGATCGTCTGCTTCGGCCTAGGTCGTTTTTTGGATGGTCCCGCGGTCCCGAAACGGCTCCAAGACGCCAGGGGATGATAAAGCCGCTGGTCGCCATTTTGTTGTGACGCCGGGATCTCTGGGCCAGCCCGTCCACACCCAAACACCCATCCCGGGACCCGTCCCAATCAGACTGTCCTGGCGAATTTTCCGCGCTGCATCCTGCCTCTGTCACAGCATTTTCGAAACCAGAAATGCAACCAGCCCCTGATGGCGCATCGGCAGACATAGTGTGCACATGCCCCTCATGGAGGAAAGACATTTTTCTTCCGTTGGGTCTCGGTGCCCCACCCACCGCTAACCCATAGCGGCGCCATGGCCCAAGATGGTGAACATGATTGTCCCGGATAGCAAATAGCCCAAGATGGACTCTACGATAGCACAAGATAGCTTCAGATTGCTCAACGTTGCTCCAAGCCTCCAAGGCGTCCAAAGACCGCAAGAAGTGGCCACGGAGCATCCTGGGACTACCCCCGAGAGCGAAAACCAAGATAACACCGAATCCGTGTCAATGATTTGTGCCTTCCCGCGTTTCGCTTTCGGTGCCTGTCTGAGGCGTGAGCGTGGATTCACGGTCGCCCAAAAGAGTCCCAGAACGGCCCCGAAAAAACTCCACGACAGGCCCGTGATCGCCCGGAAAGCATTACAATGTGGCCCCAAGAGGCGATTTGCATGGCTCCGACGGGGGAGCCCTAATCAAAGCCGATCCCGTTGTTTCCAGATGTCCTGTAATCGCACCCCCAGAAAACCCACTGGGCCCACAATATGCCTTCAAGAGGAGGCGCCAAGCGGGCCCCGAAGGCCCACAACAGCGCCCGAAGAGAAGAGCTCCAAGATGGCTCACCAAGGAGCCCACATGTCGCATGTCAGTATATCACTGCTGCACGGTCTGTTTTTGTTGCTTGTATGTAAAGGATGTTGATCTGATTTCCCAGCTGGTGTTTTCATTTAGGGGCCCTTGCTCAGGGTACGCTGCGGCATTGCAGCCTCGTGGGCGCCCCGTGCGCTGGGTGGGTTTCCAGAATTCGCGCCACGTTGCTGCCCATGCTGCCCCGTGGGGGCCTCGTGGGCGCATCGCGCGTTTTTTGTTTGTTTCCGAAGTTGCGCCACGTTGCCGCCCGTGTCGCCTCTTGGCCGCCCCGTGCGCTGAGTGGGATCACCGAGTCTGCAACAATTCCGGACGCCACCAGGGCGTCCCGTGCTGCGATCTGCCACGACCAAAGCTTCCACCACATAACTTACACCACCCCGCTTGTACCACGTAGCTTGCACCGCGTAACTTACTCAGCATAGCTTGCATCACATGGGTCACACCGCATCTAACGTTCAACGCCAGCTTACACCTCGCAGCTTACACGGCGTCGCTTACACAAGATTGCTTAAACCTCATAATGTCACACCCATAGATCGCACTGCGCAGCTTACTCAGCATAGCCCTCAACACACAGCTTTCGCAGCACAGCTTCCACCTGGGCAGTGCAATGACGAAGTGTTAGAAACCCACGCTGGAGAGAACTGCCGCAACAAAAAAGAACGCGCAGGTGCATCGCAATATGCAGGAATCGGGCGACCGACGGTGTCTCCAATTGCCTCCCGTTGTCTCCCATGGCCTCCCGCTGCCTCCCGTTATCCCGATCCGCATGCGTAACTTTATCGCTATCCCTACCCCCATTGTCTGCCGTTGTCCCCGCTTGTCTAGCCAGTGTCTCCCACTGTCGATCCCGATCCCGCTCTCCATATCTATCCTTATTTCCCCTCTCATCCCTCTGCCTCTATCCTCATCCAATTCATCCATGTCAAGACCCTATATTCTCATTCCTATCCCGATCCCCATTCCGAACGGCAGCTCCATCCCCACAACTCTCTATCCCTAGCCCTGCATCCCAGGAGCGGCGGGGGTGTTGGCAGATTGCCTCCTAATCGTGCCGCTTTTTCCCGACCTAGGCTCTGCCCAGAAAGGTTCTTGACCTCTAGCTTAAAGGGGCCATGCAGTGGAACCCGCCCCGGGCGGTTCCCCCGGCATCCGCCCCGCGGTTCCCCCAGCTACGCCCCCTTAGCTTAGCGTTGCTTACCTCAGCTTTAGCTTTAGCTTAAGCTTCAGCTTAGTTTTAGCTTAGTTTAAGCTTAGCGGTAGTTTAGCTTCAGCTTAGCTTCGGCTTAGCTTTAGCTCCGATTTCGCTTAGCTTTAGCTTAGCTTTAGCTTCGCGTTCGCTTAGTTTCAGCTTAGCTTTAGCTTAGCTCTAGCTTAAATTTAGCTTAGCTTCAGCTTAGCTTTAGCTTAGCGTTAGCTTAGCTTTAGCGTAGCTCCATCTTGGCTTCAGCTTAGCTTTAGCTTAGCTTTCGCTGAGCTTTTTGGCTTAGCTGCTTTGGCTTAGCTGTAGCTTAGCTTGAGCTTAACTTTAGCTTAGCGTTAGCTTAGCTTTCGCTTAGCTTCAGCTTAGCTTTAGCTTAGCTGCAGCTTAGCTTTAGTCTGAGCTTAGCTTGAGCTTAGCTTTAGATTAGCTTTAGCTTAGCTTTATCTCAACTTTAGCTTAGCTCTAGCTTAGCTTTAGCTTAGCTTTACTGTTACTACGAATGCTACTTTCCTAGGGGGTCCAACTCCTAGGTAGGGTCGCACTGGGATAATTGACGAGCAAGCTCGGGCGACCAGCGCAGTCGCAAGCGCCCGGAGGCGGCGCCCCACTCAGTCGGGCACCTTGATGAACTGCGCTACACGCCGCGCCGCCAGCGCCGCGATTCGGACACGCTGCTCCCGGCGCAGTGCACGTCGTGCATCAGGCGCTCCTGGCATGCCTGGCACGACTGGGCCCCAGGAGCGCCTGAGGCGCGCACGGTGCCCGAGGCGCGCCCGGCATGCGTGGCGCACCCCGCCCCAGCGATTGCGCACCTGGGGCCTGTGCTGGTTCCCAGTAGCGGTCCATCCCAAGGCGACCGCTGAGCGCGCTGAGGCAGGGAAACCATTTCTGTGCTGGGATGGCGGATGGGAGTGAGCCGAACAGCTTGCGTCTGGCAGAGGTGTCTTGATCCCTACCTCTATCCCCATGCCGATCCCTCCATCGTGCCCCCACCATCGTGGCCCCCGATCGTGACACCCCCCGATTGTGGCCCCCATTGTGACGGCGTATGGCTGTTCAGGGCTTCTTGCCGCAAGGGTGTCACGAGGAACTATCCCTTCGCGCCTCCCTGCAAACTTCCTAGGCACCGTTTCTCGGCGGGCTGGAGGAGAGACCGGAGGCGTCAAGAGCTGAGGCGGAGGAGGAGGACCTCGGAGGTCTCCAAGAATCTCTCTCAGGAGGTCTCCGAAGGTCCACAGAAGCTTCGTCTCAAGGACACCAACCGGAGGCCCAACAATGCGGAGACACGTGGTACCACATCCATCGCCGAAAGGGAGCACGACAAGCCAGCGCCCGCTGGGCCTCTTGAAGCAACAGCCTCGACGCAAGGCCCCGCGCCGCTTGGTACCCTGAGGGTCTGGCCGGCCGCCGACTCCAGAACATGCGCCTATGCGTGAACTGACTGCACCATCCCACACACAAGGGCACGCGCCGAAGCCAGCATCCTGCCCTCGAGAGGAGAATGGGGCGACGCCCACGAAGAGCCATCGCAAGGAGGCGGGAGGCGGGAGACGGAGAGGTGAGGCCGCGAGACCCCCCGCTGCGCCCCCCTGGGCGCCCGAGAACGCACGCGGACCGCGGCGGCAGTGCGGCCGACGACAAAGTCGACGACGACGTCGCCAGCGCCGCCGCCGCGAACGACGACGACGGCGGCGGCGCTGGCGACTACGACGTGCGACGGACGAACCCGCCGACGCCGCCGACGCCGGCGACGACGGCGCTTGCGGTGGCGGCGCCGCGGCCGCCGTCCGCGTCGCCGTCGGTTGCGTCAGCGGCGTCGGCGGGGTCGTTTGTCGTCCCTCCTC